CTACTAGAGGTGCCGCAACTCCATGGTGCAAATTTCAATGCAAAGTTCGACAAAACTGCGTTTGTTGATTCCGTCACCCCTAGCAACCAGCATTTGATACCCAAATTAGCATTATAAAGTTGCGCTGCACCAGTGATTTGCGCCGACAACTTGGAATTGGCCCCTAAGTCAGTACAACACTAATCCAGGCAAAGCTCATTAGATGGCCGCAAAGCGAATACTCAGATATTTGAGAGGAACAACGAATCGCGGTTTAGTCTATCAGAAGACTGAAGATCCACTCATCGGATTTGTTGATTCTGATTGGGGAGCTAGTTTGGACGATCGCATTTCTTACACTGGATTTGTATTCAAGTTAGCAGATGCTGCTATAACATGGAAATCAAAGAAACAGAGAACAGTAGCTTTATCGAGCACTGAGGCAGAATACCTAGTCTTGGGCGAAGTAACAAAAGAAACAGTCTACCTCCGTAATTTACTGCAAGAAATAGGCTACATCCATCTAAAATGCGAACTTACCGTCTTATTCTGTGACAACCAGGGAGCACAGAACTTAACGAAAAATCCTGTTTTTCACTGTCGAACAAAACATATCGATTTCCGTCATCATTACATCCGTGAAATCTTCAGAAAAGGAGAAATCGACGTGAAATATATTCCGACCGACGACATGGTTGCCGATGTACTTACTAAAGGTCTTTATCGACCCAAGCATGAGAAGTTCAGAAAATATCTTGGAATTTCGGATGTCACCACGCATTGAAAGGGGGTGTTGGAGTTTACACATCTAAAGTGTGCAATACTCGTTGCATACCGAACGTCTGTCATATTTACATTTTACGTTTTTAACTGTCATTACTATTATTATTGTAATCGAAATAAAGCCTCGTGTGTGTATATAGCATCAAAGTATTTTATCTTCCGCGAATAAATCCATCAGTTTAACTCTTACGGAAGATCAACAAGTAACCGTAGCGCAAACAAAGTTAAAGCTCAGCTGACAGGTCGTAATTAGTCGATTCCGATTTTTTAAGACCTTATTGAATCACTTACAAGAAGACAATTTTAGAGGCGCACGGACATATTTTAATGAACAATGTAAGATTTCACAGAACCGAAGAAATTCAACAATTGATACAAACCCATGGAATTTTTCCTGTATTTCTACCTCGTTATAGGACTTTTCTTAACACAGTATCTCAAAACTAGGTCGAAGAGTGGTAATGACGTGTGCAGCCCCCTTTGATATCTACAGATCAAACCTAATTGGGAAACTGTTTAATCAGTGGAAAGTGATTATTAAAAGAAGTCATCCTAGAAATGAAGACGAATTAAATATCCAATATCCAAGTACACAATGCTTTTGACGCAATAATTTGTGGGGATTGCCTCAACAGAAATGAAATTTTGCTAGCTAAAATATAAAATATTTATTAAAACAGAGGGAAAGTATCTGCGATAAATTGGAAGAATTTTTACAAAGGGAATTAGGGTAAACGCACCCATTGTTGGCATGGAACCTGTTGTTGGCACTTCAGTACAGTTTTTCTTTATTTGTGGTGCAATATCTGAGAATGCGTATTTTGAGTATTTGTAATAGTTAGTATATTTAATTCTTCAACTGTTGGCATGCTTGTATTTTATGTCAATTCACTTCCCGCCAAATATTGTGGTTGTTAACTTCTTCGTGTCAAGGAACTTGGGTAAGTTTGATCATTGAACTAACTTTCCGTTGCTTGAAATTAAGGCATAATGCAGTCTAGCGTAGCGATTTTAAGTATTTATTACTTCAATCTCTTAGTAGATAGATTTATTTTGTTGATGGGCATGTTAAAATTAGGTTAGGACAAGCGTTTTCTCATAAAAATAGGGATGCCAATGACTAGACCTAAAAAACTGTTTGAATCAGTACTTGGCATAGGGTGTCAATAAATGAAACATTGGATTTTACTGTGGACTAGTGGTTGGCAGTTATTTCTTATAAGTTAGCGGGGTGTTGATCAAAGAAATAATCATACAAATATTTGTGTCATTTATTACAGAATATAACAAAAATGGCTAAATCAAAAAAAAAATAAACGTAAATCATCGACTTGTTATCGCGAAGAAGACGTTGACAAGGCGTTAAATGCTATACAGGAAGGAATGCCAAAGTTGAAGGCTTCTAGATTATTTGGGGTGCCGAGAAGCACTCTCCAATTCCGGCTAAGTACCAATTTTACAAAAACGTCTAAGGGACCAACACCGTATTTAACGTCCGACGAAGAAAATATATTGGTCCTGTGGATCGGTGAATGTGTTCAAAAGGGTTTTCCACGCAACAAAGACGATATTTTTCTTACTGTAAAAGAATTTTTTGATAAAAGTGGTCGCAAAAACCCTTTTAAAGATAATTTACCAGGTAGAACATGGTACAAAAAATTCTTACAAAGACATCCCGAAATAGTGAATCGAACACCTGAATCCGTTTCTAGTGCGAGTGGAAATGTCTCTGAGGAAAACATTAGAAAATGGTTTGATACCATTGAATCGTATTTAAATTCGAAAGATTTTTTTGAAATTTTGCAAGATCCAACTCGCATTCTGAACGGAGATGAAACAGGATTTCAGTTATGTCCAAAACAGAAAACTGTATTAGCCCCAAAGGGCTGCAAAAATGTATATCAAATAGACAGCGGTCAAGCAAAATCAAGTTTGACTGTCATGTTCACCTTTTCTGCCTCCGGTGTCACTACTCCTCCTATGATAATATATCCTTTAAAGAGGATGAGCTCCAAAATTCAAAAAACCGTACCAAACGAATATGGCATAGGATTATCTGACAATGGTTGGATGAAAGCAGAATTATTTTTCGAATATATTTCCAATATCCTATATCCATTCTTAATCAAAACAAACGTGACCTTCCCAGTTATACTGTTTGTCGATGGTCACAAAACTCACCTAACGTATCAACTGAGTTGCTTATGCACGTCTTTGAATATAATATTGATTGCACTTTACCCCAACGCCACACGTATTTTACAACCAGCAGATGTGTCAGCATTTCGGCCTATTAAAAGTGGTTGGAAGAATGCGTTACAGAAATGGAGAAGAGACCATCCGTTAGAACAAATTACCAAAGAGAACTTCGCTCCCATATTAGATACCATTGTAAAGGACATAAAGCCTCAAAACATTATTAATGGATTTCGGGCATGCGGACTTTTTCCTTGGAACAAAGATGCAATAGATTATTCCAAATGTCTTGGAAAAAACACTGGACAAAAAAAAAATCAACAGCCTAGCTTTGCATGTGACACACATCTGTCATATAATGCATTTTGTGAAATTTTGGGTCCAGGTAAAATTGATGAAATTCAAAATTTAATAAACGAACCAAAAGATGAAAATCTACTTTGCCTCTATAAAATTTATAAAGAGCTTTTGCCCCATAATGTTCAGCGAGACCTTTCAATTTGTAATAATAATGAAAAGGTGGCAGACAATAACGTAGAAGGAATTTATAATATTGAAGATATACCCATTGTTTTTGCTGATGATCTGCAAAATATGTCGACTAACTCTTTGCCTATAATCAGTATTAACGATACACCACAAAATACAGGATTTGATCAAAACGAAAAACAAATAATTTTACACGATTCATTCCAAATGGAGATTAACAATAAAGTAAAGGAGCCTGGAATTACTGAAAATGATGTAGTAGAACAGTTAACTGAAATAATTAATAATGGTTCACAAAATGATCATTCAGTAGAGCAGTCAGAGGAAATTCAAAATGTGCATTATTCCCCAAACAAGAAAGAACAAAAAATAAACATACTTCAAATTATTCATTGGCCAGCTACGCCCCAAAGAAAAGGCCGGCAACTTTCCGAAAAAGAAAAACTTCCGTATGTCGTGACATCGACTGGTTGGAAAGAGATTCAAGAAAAGAAAATACGTGAAAAGGAACAAAAAGAAGCAGAAAAAGAAGAGAGAAAAAGAAAACGACTTGTTAATAAAAAGGAAAAAGAACAACCACCGAAGAAGAGAAAGGTTACACCAAAAGAAAAAGTCAAACCAAGACATGTTAGGAAAGTATTTCAAGACGGAGACGTTAACAATAATTCTGATGAAAAAACTGACAATGCTGTGAAGAAATCCGATATATACATTAATAATGCAGTTGACGATTCTGAGGTAACAAATAATGTGGAAATTTAAACAACCATGTGATTATATAATTTCTAGATCCAGACAAGTACCTGCCTTGAAGAAAATGAAAATGCCAAATTGAATTCGCTTTGTTTTAGTTGTGCAAATCCCATTACGATGCAGTTAACTGGTTTAAAATGCGCAAAATGCATTAGAAATTTCCATTACAAATGCATTTTTACCAAACAAGCTTATTTATTAAGCAGCAATGTTTTTGTATGTAAAACTTGTAAGTCAAAAAAATTCTGAAAAGTAATTTAAAACAAAATACCTAAATCTAGTTTTTACAAATTAAATATTCCTGATTTAGAATGTCTACTAATATGCAACTACCTTTTTTAACCCTGCCTATAACTGATACAAAAAGTGCCAATGTTAAAAACAAATATGCCAATGACTGAAATTGTGTTACAAACAAAAATAATATTATTTTATTATATTAAATCAATAGGAAAGACTAAATTAAAATTATAAACTCGATAGAAAAGTCTGCTAGGAATCCAGTAACGGTAAGTCGTTATAACTTCCGCTGATTGCCGCTAAAGAATGAGTTTACAAAAGCAAAATTTGTCTTAAGGGTGCCAATAACTGGTGTATTTACCCTACTTTTGGCATTTGATATCAAAATGGCAAATACGGGAAAAATGTGTCAAATAGTGAAACATATTCGACAGATAAAGAAAATCACTGTATCACGAAAAAATATAGTAGAAACAAATTTTAATTTTAATCAAACTAGGTAAAATTGGTCCAAGGTATCAGACAGGACATTTCTCGCTCCTGAAACACGGTCGAACAAATTCAGTTTTTTTTTAATTCTATTTTTTTTAATATAAATCCTATAATTAAAGTATGTAATAATATCTCTCAAAGGTTAAGGTAACATTCTTTTTAATAGATATAGAGCAAAATTACCGTCCCTGATAAGATCAACAAAATAACAATAAAAAAAATGAGGCGGCGGATGGCAATAAAATATTGAAAGTCTGCGCGACTGATTTCGGCTCCGCATTTCACCAGGCATTCGACAATTTTTCGTGACCTCGAGAGGAAGCTGCGTACAACAATGTGTTCTCATATGTATTAGCTGGATTAATTTTTGCTCCGCATTTCACCAGGCATTCGACAATTTTCTCGTGACCTCGAGAGGAAGCTGCGTAAAGCGGTGTCTTACCATCTTCATTAGCGCGATTGATTTCGGCTCCGCATTTCACCAGGCATTCGACAATTTTTTCGTAACCTCGAGAGGAAGCTGCGTAAAGCGGTGTCCAACCATCTTTATCAGCGCGATTGATTTCGGTTCCGCATTTCACCAGGCATTCGACAATTTTTTCGTGACCTTCAAAGGAAGCTGCGTAAAGCGGTGTCCGACCTTTATTATTAGCGCGATTGATTTCGCCTCCGCATTTCACCAGGCATTCGACAATTTTTTCGTGACCTTCAAAGGAAGCTGCGTAAAGCGGTGTCCAACCACTATAATCAGTCCGATTGATTTCGGCTCCGCATTTCACCAGGCATTCGACAATTTTTTCGTGACCTTCAAAGGAAGCTGCGTAAAGCGGTGTCCAACCACTATAATCAGTCCGATTGATTTCGGCTCCGCATTTCACCAGGCATTCGACAATTTTTTCGTGACCTCGAGAGGAAGCTGCATAAAGCGGTGACTCACCATTATAATAAGTACGATTGATTTCGGCTCCGCATTTCACCAGGCATTCGACAATTTTTTCGCGACCTCGACAGGAAGCTGCATAAAGCGGTGTCTCACCATCTTCATTAGCGCGATTGATTTCGGCTCCGCATTTCACCAGGCATTCGACAATTTTTTCGTGACCTTCAGAGGAAGCTGCGTAAAGCGGTGTCTCACCATCTTCATTAGCGCGATTGATTTCGGCTCCGAATTTCACCAGGCATTCGACAATTTTTTCGTGACCTCGAGAGGAAGCTGCGTAAAGCGGTGTCCAACCATATTTGCTAGGGCTATTCCAACCATATTCACTAGGGCTATTCCAACCATATTCACTAGGGCTATTCCAACCATCTTCACTAGAGCTATTACAACCATATTCACTAGGGCGATTCCAACCATATTCACTAGGGCGATTGATTTCGGCTCCGCATTTCACCAGGCATTCGACAATTTTTTCGTGACCTTGAGAGGAAGCTGCGTAAAGCGGTGTCTCACCATTATAATAAGTACGATTGATTTCGGCTCCGCATTTCAACAGGCATTCGACAATTTTTTCGTGACCTCCAGAGGAAGCTTCGTAAAGCAATGTGTTCTCATATGTATTAGCTGGATTAATTTTTGCTCCGCATTTCACCAGGCATTCGACAATTTTTTCGTGACGTCGAGAGGAAGCTGCGTAAAGCGGTGTCTCACCATATTTATCAGCGCGATTGATTTCGGCTCCGTATTTGACCAAGTACTCTACAACTGTTTCGTGGCCCTCTCGAGAAGCTAATATAAGAGGCGTCCCACCATCGAATTCATCACTAAAATTTACTTCATTATTAGAAATACTCGAAGATGAGAATGATGTTTTAAAGGCTTCTGCGTATCCGTGCAAAGCGGCAAAAAATAAAATATTAATTTTGTCTGTTCGACTATACGAATTTTTCAGTTGTAATTTGCATGATTGCAATAATTCCAGTTCCGCTCCCAAACTCTCACTTTCTTGTGCCCATGCTAAGGGTGTGAGTTGATGTAAAAAATCTTCTTCTAATATTTCACATTTGTCTAACAAAAACAATAACGCTTTAAAATATTGTTTCGTTTCCAACGAACTACGCATAATCTGCCGACTTGTCTCGATAACATAACTCTTGTTATGATGTTTTACATTTAAACGCCCATGTCGTTGTCCCCAAGAACAGATGAGATGTAAGGCATTTCTTCTACACTCATCTTTACGTTTTATTATTTCGTCTTCAAAGTTCTCCACTTCATCAAAATTTCTGTATAAAATCGCGATGTGAACCGGTGAATCTTTGCCAGTTATCATGTCGAAGAAAAAGCGTACATTGTTATACTTTTGATCAAAAAATATGTCTCTGCGTGCCATTCTAAAATTTTTAGAAAAATATAAGGCTACAAAATATTCGGCAAATGAAGCATGTGCAAATTGCGGACTGTCCTTTTGTAGCCCAGTCACGATACCGATAGTTGCGAAATCTTCAGAAACAGAATCTATATCTTGAGAATAATCTATCTTTAATTGTTTCAAAACACCTTCAGGAAATATTACTTTGAGCGCCAACTTTTCATACTGTTTTAATTTCTCTTCCTTTTTTTTCTTTACTTCTTCTTCCCAATAATCATTGTTTACGGGCACTTTATCTCCGTAGAAAAACTTAAATTTTCCTTCAATAAAGTACCGGTACATGTCAGTCAGGAGAAATTTATTGTTTAATAAGTCTAAATAGTTTTCCTTGTTTTTAAGTAATACGTCTGTAAGCATAAAAATTTGAAGAGGGATTCCCAATATATCTATATGTTTTGTAAATGCAAACGTGGATTTAATTTTGTCGATGACTGGTTTCATATCTACAGGCTCAATAAAATTGTTAAGACGTTTTTTAATATAATCTTCTTGCTCGACTTCGTTGAGCTGATTAATACTCACTGACAGAATATTAAATTTTTCTTCAAGAGAAGATCTCAAATGTTGCCTTGTAGTAACCCACTGAATGCAATTTTTTTGTGAAAACATAAGAATGAGATCTAAAGTAGCATTTAAATAGCGAGTAAATATTTCATCAAGAGCGTCCCATACATAAACCACATTGCGTTGCTTTAAACACATTTTAAAAAATTCGCGATCGAGCCCAGCGAAGTGTCGATATTTTTCGTTTAAAATGAATGCTTCGAATAGTTCTAAGTCTGCTGATATTTCAGACTTTGCTGAATTTTTAAAGAAAGTCATAACATCTTGAGCACTCAGAATCACGGTCCAATATCTCGCACAACAGTTGTTTTTTAGACTCTTCATTAACTCGGTTTTGCCCATTCCTGGGTCACCTGTTATTAGATTTATGTTGTTCCTGAATTGGGAAGACCAAATTTCCTTTTCGTTTTTGGAACGATTAGGTAATTTATATTTTCGCAGTTCACTAACAGATCCTTTGCTTAAAATCCATTCTAAATTTTGATCGTTGAAAAATTTAAAATAGTGTACAGTGTGGGATGCTGCTCCCTTAGAACATATTTTCTGAAAATCAGAATCACTGCAATTTTTTTCACTCCTTATAAAAATTGGTTTTTCAAAAATTTTGGGGTCTGTATTACTTAAAAAATCCTCGATGTCTGTTAGAGTATGCTTTTTAGATATTTTCAATTGTTGAGAATTACTTTCGCAATTTAAAATGATAACAGTATTTCGATCAACATGTTCTAAATATTCAGTGTTTATAATATTGACTGACAAATACCTATCGATATAAAGATTGGGAAAATCTTCCTTTTTTCCATCTATATAGCACGGACCATTTGCCATATTTAAAAGTTTTTCCACAGTAACATGTTTGAAAATTTCTTCATTTTTTTCGAAAGCGGTCACTAACTTAATTGGTTCTTTCCCTTGTAAAGAAATGGTGAAATTTTGCAATACTTTTTCATATAATTCGCCTTTTGATTTCAAGTTGGATAAGTTTTGAAAGACAAATCGTTCTTTCAACCATTCTTCATATTTTCCTTCGCCAAGTATAATAAATTTTGCATCTGGACAGAGGTTAAAAGCTTTCTCCATATTGACGTGTTCTTTCACAATAAGCGGACTTTTCTCCATCAGCCAAAGCAACTGTGTCAACAAATTTGCATCCAAATTTTCGACACAACTTATGTAATTTGAAGAAAGAGAATAAAGTGATCGAACTTTGTTTAGTTCCTTATGGTCAAGACTTTTGTTCAAGTCGCCCCACAAGTTTTTAATTGCGTTGCTGCCTTCTTTCTCTAACAACGTAATCTTGAACGAACAAATAGCCTCGCGAAGTATTTTCATTTCTTCTGTGACTGAACCAAAAACAAATGTTTCGATCTGAGATGAAAGCAAACGAAGTGCTATTGCATGTTGCATCATTCTTTTGTTTAGTTTTTCTTTTTCTTTTTCTTTCAAACTCCATTCCGATATCACGTCGAAGTATTTCTTGAATGTTTCTTCGTTAGAGCAAAACATCTCAGTAAATTTATCCATTGTTGATTTTTTAAGAGCTTCAAAACTTTCTTGGTTTGTGTAAAGACGAAAGCACTGGAAGAATGTTTGGTACTGCTGAATTTTTTCAGAATTTTGTTTAGTCCACTCGTCCTCTACGATTTGAAATGTATAATAATAATCTATATCTTCAGAAATTCTTAAAATATCGAAATCGTCTCCTGAAACTGTCTTTTTAATCGCCTTCAGGTAAAACTCTTCTCCTTCTAGTTTAAATTTTGTTTCATCTGAAGTTTTAAATGTATTTCTGGTGAATAATATAAATTCTTGCACTTCGCCTTGAACCTCTTGAGCAGATTTGAAATATTTGATTATACTAAAGTCTCCCTTTTTGCCTGCCAGTTGCTTTATATGTAATTGTTTTTTTTCATTACTGTGTTTTAATTGCAGTGCTTTTGTTTTTATTCCGCTATCTGTCTCAATTTCAATAACCACGTCATCAAAATCACCAAAACTTTTATCGTTCGAAGAAATGTAGAAATCTCTTATTTTACTGTCGCTTACAAATTGTAGTGCGACTTTAGCGGTAACCAAATCTTCGTATTTTTTTCCCTTGTCGGTGGTTCCTGCTCGTTTTTCAAAAACCTGTAATAGAAGTCAACATTGTGAATAAATCGAAAATAGTTCTAAATCATTTAAAAATTAGACTTCGAAATAGTTCTAAGTTTTTTTATGCTTTTGTAGATATACATGCAGACAGGTCTTGTTTGAGTTATTTTTTCTGGTACAAAATAACGGCCAAAACGTATATTTCATCATAAATAAATTTATATACAACCGTGGGATATATCTTATAAATCGCACTCACTGGGACAACGTAATGTTTGAGATTATCGCACGCGTGCGATAATTTTTAGATAACCGCACGCGTGCGATAATATGTCAAATCGGACACACATCCATGAATACAAAAGAATCAAAGAGACCTGCTATTTATTATTGTTATATATATACATTGATAATACAACTCTTACAGTGAAACAAATTAATGTCATCAGATTCAGTTGATAATTGTGGGGTCGTTGACGACGAACTAATGTAGGAAGTGTTTTCATTGCACCATTTTGCATATCGTTCAAACGCCAGCTGATATTTTTCGCGTGATTTCTGAGGAACAAGACCAGAAATAACATCCAAAGCAACTAAAGGCAGATCTTCTGAAGCACTCATTCTGATGATTTAGTAACAAAATATTCAAAACCAAAATTTGTTTACTGTTTACACTGTTGCTAAGTACGTTGCCATCATTTTGAACAATGAGATGCAGCTGCTTCTTTTAATTAATATTCACAACATTTTGATCGAGAATTGTTAGTCCATGATTGAAAGCAGCAAAAATGTTTTATTTATAAAAAATTCAACAGTTGTACATAAAATTTTGTACACAATTCGTGGGATACACTACTATCGCACTTACATGGTTACGCAAAACTCGGGCTGACGCCCTCGTTTGCGCAATTTCCATGTGCGTGCGATAATAATGTGTGTATCCCACTTATTGCGTAAATAACTATTACCTTATCCGACGAAGTTTTATTTCTTTCGCCATCTGTTGCTTGTCCAGCCCGGTTCCCTGGAACTGTATTTTCTTCGGTATTTCCCTTAATTTGATGACTGGCTTCAGATAGAGCAACTTGCTTGTTTGGAGTGTCTTCTATTGCTATTAGATCTGTCCGCTAAAAATAATTTAATAAACAAAATTATTATCGTGTTTTCGCAAAAACATTGTTAAAATTATTCTAAGTAACTTTAACAATTACGTGGCTAAAGTTTCAAAATTTTCATAATTTTTCTTAGAGATGAAATAATGGACTATGAATAAGAAACATCAAATTTTCGAGACGATGACATCATTTGGTAAAAAAATTGATTTGAACACATGGTGCACAAAAAATGGAAAACTTTATATTTTTCTTAATATGTTTCATAAGTTCTCTTGTAAAATTGTATAGTTTTAATTAATTACTTCCCGAGCGTAACCGTCTGTCCGTCTGTCCGTCTGTCTGCCGTCCCGGATTTTTATTAGACAGATAATCTCCGAAAGTACTGGGCCGATTCCAGATTTTTGGAAAAGAAAACATAAAACAACATTTTACAATTTAATTTTGATTCTTACAGCTGTTTTAAAGTTATGATAAGCATAATAAATTTTTAATCAAAATATATTTGCTTATCCCCTCCAAAAAATTGTTAAATTTTTACTTATATTTGGGATATAATGTAGATGGTAAAACGCTAACCAAAATTTGTCTTATTATCCCCACCACTAATGTGATGACGTCACTTCAAAATTGTACTAAGTAAATGGGTTTTAAATTGTATAAAATAACATAGCCCTGCACATGTAGTTTACGACTCCGAATTGAGGTTTTACCCGAAACGTTCAAATTTTTGTAAAAAAAAATCAAAATTAAAAAACAACATTTTGCAATTTAATTTTGAATCTGCTAACCCGAATGCTTTGAAATGTTGTAGATGTTTCAAGGCTATAAAGAGCATCATAAATCTTTAGTCAAAATATATTTGGTTATCCCCTCCAAAAGCTTGATGACGTCCACTCGAAAATTTGCCGAATAAATCCCATCTAAACTGTACAAAATATGATGAGTCTGTACTTGTGATTTATCATTCCAATCATATTTTTTGGATTTGCATATACAGGGAGACTCAAAAAAATTAATGAATGCGTAAATTTATTTGATTGATTTACTCAGGAACTACCAAACCGAATGCTTTGAAATCTTGAAGATGTTTTAAAGTTATCATAAGCATGGTAGGTTTTTGATCAAAATGTATTTGCTCATCCCCCCTAAAAAATGTATGACGTCACCACAAAATTTTGCTGAATAAATCCCATCTAAACTGTACAAAATATGATGAGTCTGTACTTGTGATTTATCATTCCAATCATATTTTTTCGATTTGCATATACAGGTGACCCAAAAAAAATGAATGCCTAAATGTATTTTATTGATTTAATCAGGCACAGGCACAACAGAACCGATTGTTTTGAAATCTTGCAGATGTTTTAAGGTTATAAAGAGCATAATAAATTTTTAGTCAAAATATATTTGGTTATCATCTCCAAAAAACTGATGACGTCGACTCAAAAGTTTGCCGAATAAATCCTATATAGAATATACAAAATCTGATGAGTCTGTACTTGTAATTTATCATCCCATTTATGTTTTCTTAATTTGCATATACCGGGTGACTCAAAAAAAAAAAAGCATGCGTAAATTTATTTTATTGATTTACTGAGGAATTACAAAACCGAATGGTTTGAAATCTACTGCGAAAAAAAAACATAATAAGCATGCAGTCGTCACGTTTCCGACAGCGAGGGAAGTACTGTCTAAACTCTTTAGACCAATTTTTAATTTTCTAAAACCGAGAAGATCATAAGAAAATGTAATTTGCACCTCTGTAAAAAGTGCCCCTTTATAATCTCGCTTGTTTGCTGGCCTCGGCTACGCCTCGACTACCAAACTGCAGACATGAGTATAATGCGCAGTTTTTCGTCCTTGGTACATCAATAACCACCGGGTGACTGTTAATAAATGTGATTTTTTTTAACAGGTTGGCAAACTATTTAAAATTTTATAATGGCAAAACTGATTTTCAAAGAAACATAAGTATATAGCAGCTACCATGGTCTTAACCAATCAACACAGTTGTTACGTGTGCCAATGTCAAAATTGACAACTGTAAACTGAGGTACTAGCATTTTCTGCCAATAATTCAGAATTGCCAACGCAAAAATTTGCTTCTGATGAGTCTGTACTTGTAATTTATCATCCCATTTATGTTTTTTTAATTTGCATATACCGGGTGACTCAAAAAAAAAAAGCATGCGTAAATTTATTTTATTGATTTACTGAGGAATTACAAAACCGAATGGTTTGAAATCTACTGCGAAAAAAAAACATAATAAGCATGCAGTCGTCACGTTTCCGACAGCGAGGGAAGTACTGTCTAAACTATTGATATCGACTTAATTCAAATACATATTAATCGATTCATCAAAACGTCCAAATGCCTTATTTATTTCATCTTGCGTCATAAAATAATTGGTATGTTCAAACTGTAATATGTCGCATAAAACCAAAGTAAATATCATATATTTTGGTACAGAAACTCACCTCTTTCGAAAAAGCTTCCCTTACTTTTCCATCCTTTTCTTCACGAATCTGCTTCTTTTGATGTGTATTTTCTTTGGTCCTTTCTTTACTTTGCTGATTATTCCGAGATGCAAAAGCGTGTTTGTTTGAAGTATCTTCTGTTTGTATTGGATCTGTCGGCTGACAAAGTATTTAATTAATAACATTTATATATTTATTTATGTATTCTAAAAATATATGTAAATTAAAGAAATATTTTTATCTGCTCTTAAATACACATTTAAACAATTTTTAGCGAAGACCATGTAAATTAAAATAGCATCAATTGTTAATCACAGAGCGCTTTGGGTTTATAAAGACAGCAGTAGTCTAATAATTGGTCGAAAAATATTTTATTTCGCATAATTTGGAAGACAAAAATGGAGTTTTTTTTGTGTTTTTTACTCTAAAATTTTATAAATTTGGGACACTTCTGCAGGGGCAAACACTCTTAGACGCGTTTATCTTGAACTCCTCAATCAAGTTAGGTATTTATTTTTTTAAGTTGTAATAAATCTAAATAAACATTTGTTCTTTGCTGGCCCAAATTTATAATACCTTTTTTGAGGAACATAAATTCCCTTCAGATTGCGAAGTATTCATCTTTTCTAATTGTTTTCTTAGTCTTCTATGTTCTTTTTTCTGTTTTAAATTTTCTTCTAATTTTCTAATTTCTTCTTCTTCGGAACTCAAGTCCATGATGACGTTGAATGTGTTTTCTGAAAAAAAAATTAAAATTATAACTACCGATTAAAAATACACCCCTCGCTGTCAGTACATTGATAATTAGTATATGTGTCAGTTTTCGACAATAAAACTAAAGGTTAGAAGCTCTATTATATTAGCGCATTATTTTTGGAGAGGAGGAAATAATGTTGTTCGGACAAAAATCCGCTCTATAACAGTTAAAATTCCTAAGCTGAGAACAATAGGGTTATCTTAAAAAATCTACTATCAAATTCAGAACTAAAATTTAAAATATTCCAGCAAGTACTACCAAACATTTAATGCAATTTTGAAAAGCACGTTTAATTACAGTACATGCCCATATAGATAAAATTAAACAAAAAAATTGGTTTTTACCTTGCATTTATTTTATACTAACAAAACTGACGACAGGATAGTAGCCACTACTGTCAACCTCTGACAGCACATATACTTAAAAACTGTTGCAAAATTCAGCTTTTGTCTTTGAGTACTGGCATTTCTGTCATATGTTTAACTGTAGTACATCGAATATTCACAAAAAAAAATGGTCTAAAGTTATTTAGACAGAACTTCAAATACAGCTTCTTCCAAAAATTATAAAATGTAATTTTGTGAATTAGACTATTATTTAATGATATCCTCTATAAAGTTCAAATAAAGACATGTGTGTGGATTGTTAAAGTACAGGTAAATAAACATCGAATACGTATGTTTCAAGCGAATTTTTTCCTAGCAAAATCTTGTGATGACGTCACCAACATGTTAGCAAAGGCACATATAATTTGAACTTGGCAACGTAATACTAATAATAATAACCCTGTATACTAAAAGTTTGGGAAACATGGGATTCATTATTTCCAACTCACCCTGTATAAGTAATTTTAAAACTTGCGATTGCCTTAAAACCTGTGCAAGATTTCAATTTCAAAAATGTTGTTATTGTGTAATTTTGATTTCTTTTAAATATGGATGTCTAGGGTAAAAACTCAAGATTTATGTCATTATATCATGATTTGCTCCTGTCTTCAATCTTATGAATGATGATTTTAGTGGAAAAGTGTGGACGTATACGGCTTATCACGAGGAAAATAAATTTTAGAAGAAATTTTTTCAGTTTATGTAAAAATCTATGTACAGGACGAATTTATTTGAAATGTTGACTAGAAACTGATTTAGTCAGTATAGAACAATGCTTAAAAATAAGTTAAGAGTTGAATCAATTAATGTTGTTGGTTAAACGGAAAACTGTAATAAAATGGGATACCAATTTCATTAAATAATAAATTCAAACCGTTGCAGAAGCTCAATTTGATGTTGGATTGCGATTAAATTTTTAACACGACCTTAAAATACCACGTGACCGACTGTACGCCAATCAGACGTCGCTGAACGCCTCGTTAAATGCGTGATTAACTTTAACTTTAACTTTAGTTTTTAACTGATTGTTTATTAAAAATCTGTCATTCATTTCTGATATATATCCACTTAATTCGCAAACGTTATATAAAGAAATTCCAAAAGTAATCTAAATTTATTGTTTTTTTAATGCATTATCGTAGGTTCAACGCCCAGCTGTCTACCAATTCTGGTTGTCTGAAAGAAAATTATACTTAATTATATCTAATTTTGATACTTCCATAATAATAAAAATTTTTAGTGATTTCAACAGGAAGAAATCCCAATTACAGAAACCAAATCAACTTAAAATATCTATAATACAAACAAAATCGAGAAAGGAGCAGTTTTTTATTTGTTAGCCAAAAGTAATAATATTAACTTTTCAAATGGAGAATAAGAGCCCGCGTACATATGTAATTTCTCTGGTTTAAAAAATACAGGTTAACTTTGCAGTTAAAAATGTAAAAAATAGCTTTATTAGCTTCATTATTTAATACAAAAAAAAATCTGACCAACGACGTTGTTCCTTTTCCATATCCTTACCCCCGTTTCCATACCCTTAGCACATGTTTCTTGCGAAGGTCACATCTCGTCGCCCGAGAACTTGTTTGATCTACAGACCACAAAGCGCTCAGGCAACTGTCGACTCTATAAGCGTTCAGAAGCGATTTGGTTGATTTGGACAATAATTTCAACGTGAAATAGTTGTTCGGTCGGATTTTATAACGAATAAGTGAACATTTTTGGTATATATTTAGATGGTTTTATTTACAAATATAATATCACATGTTACATATTTCACTCGCTTTTGACATGCAACCATTTTTTTGTTTAACTAAGAATTAATTCTTTAATTGTGTTTTATACTAGCAAAACGTCTTAAATTAAGAATATTGTTGAAATCGTAATAATCCAATGGATTTTTTTCGGGAAAACCCGAAAAACGAAAAATTGAGAAATCGAAACACCAAAATTTAAAAAACCGAACAATTGAAAAATCCAATAATTGAAAATTCGAAACATCGAAATATTGGAGAATCGAAAAACCGAAAGTGCAAAAAGTAAAAAATCGCAAAACCGAGAAACCGAAAAACCAAAAGATCGAGAAATCGAGAAGTCGAAAAGTCAAAAAATTCAGATACCGAGATTGGCCAAAATCGAAACAATAAAAAGTTAAAAGATAAAAAATTGGAAAATCAAAAATCTAAAAGCGAAAAAATAAACAAAAACGAAAAAACAGAAAAGTAGAAAACTGAGAAACCGAAGCAGTCCAAAATGAACAAATACAAAAGGTACAAATTAAAAAACTGATAAATCCAGAAAGCCAACAATCGTTATATCAAAACAACTGAATCTCGATAAATCACTAAATCAAAATTTTGAAAAATCGAAAAATTTTTAAAATGTAAAATAAAAAAATCGAAATTTCTAAAAATTGAAAAATAGAAAATCTAAAACCAGAAAGTCCAAAAATCAAAAGATTAAGAAATCGAAACAATTGAAACATTCGAAAACTTGAAAAATTGAAATATGTAAAAATTGAATAATAACTAAGAAATCGAAAAATCAAAAAAGTATAGTCGAAACATCGAAACTTTAAGAAAATCGAAAAATTGAAAAATCAAAAATTCGAAAAATCGAAAAATTGGAGAATTGAAAAACTGGAAAGTCGAAACAGTCGATTGTCAATTAATAAGAAAATCAAAACATCGATTAATTGAAAAATCGAAAGTTTATAAAAGTCAAATTTGAAAAATTGAAAAATCGAAAATTTGAAAACACGAAAAATTCAAAAACAGAAAATCTAAAACCGGGAAGTCGAAAAATCGAAGATTAAGAAACCGAAAAATTTGAAGAATTCGAAAATTAGAAAAATTGAATCAGCCAAGAATTGAAAAAATCGAAAAATCGAAAATAGAAACACGCAAACGTGAAGAAGTGGGTAAATCAAAACATCGATTAATTGAAAAATCGAAAAATTGAGAATTTATAAAAGTCAAAAATTAAGAAATCGAAAAACTGAAAATTGAGAAATTGTAAAATCCAAAAAAGCCAAATTTAAATTTGGTCTGTGACTCAATTTCCGAAGTGATAATGTTAATTCAAATATAATAATAATACAGGTATATTATAGCCAACGTGAAACAAATACGAAAAAGTAAAACTACTATTAAAGGACGACGCTGCATACATGGTTAAATATAGTAAACATCGGGAAATATTTTATCCCAACTTAATTCATGTAACATGTTTGGATCACGCCTCAAACTTAGTAGTTGAAGTTATCCAGTTTAAGAATCCAAGCCTTCCGTTGTAGTCTTACCGGATTGTGGACATAGTATGAACGATTCGAAGTTACCTCGGGGAGAGCATTTAAAAAACTGCAAGATACTTTACAAAAAATATCGGATACCAAGAGCTTGAACTTGTCAGCAAACAACAAAGCGAAAATGTAGAAAAAGTTTTAAAAATGAAATCCACTGAAATTTCTAATTTTAAATATTCTCCTTATTTAACATCGTGTGATGTTGAGAGCTCCTCTGGACAAAAAGATGTCTTAACAGACAACAGAAAACAATTTTCTGCAGAAAATTTTTAAAAATATTTAATTTGTTATGCAAATTTTAACAATTTAAGATTAGAATCTCTGATTATGTGAAATAATAAAATAAATACAGGGTTAGAATAAAGTCCTGGAACGGTCGAATAACTTCGTTATTTGAAAAGTGTTTTTTCTAAAAATTGCTTTGCATATAGAGTTGAATTGATTACAATATTTATTTAACAACGAAAATGTCGTATATGTTTTATTGTACTTCACGAGCGAGGGAGGTTCTGTTGAAACAACTTTAGACCAATTTTTTTTCTAGCAGTAGAAATAAACTGTTGATAATTTCTGAAATTAGTTTTTTATTCTGCATCAGAAAATGTCAAAAAAATATGGGTGTTCCATTAAAGCAAAAAAAAAAAAACTAGATGGCCTTGTGTGTCAAACCGAAAGCGATAAAAAAAGGAAAAATATTGTAATCAAGTTGCCATATTTAACTATACATCCACACCAAATTTCTAAAATATAGATCTGAAATAGAACCAGACGTTGCGTAAATTTGTTTTTCCTAAAACTTCCCTAAAGCGCTCATTTTGCCATTTTCGTGTCTAAATCCACAATTATTGTCGCCTATTTGGGCTTTTTTTTTCTTTAGTCTAAAATTTGCTCTTTATTTGTAAGAAGTACCAGTAGAACACAAATTTGGAGAACTACCCGAGGTAGAAATGCAAGTTTTAGTTCTGAAGTGTTGTACTGTACATTTTGTTATAATAAATTCTTTAATGATTATTATGAAAAATAAACATTACGCGTACATCGTAAATTCTAACTGTAATTTTCAACTTACCCGTCAGGAAGTTCACTTATTTTTGAAAATTATAATCACAAAAAACTTTTATAAAATACGTTTAAAATTAAAGTACTTATTACTTTATTACGGTAAACTTTTAAATCATCCGTACTATAATACTCACCAATTTTTTTAATGTTGTTCCTTATATACTACATTCTAAAGGTGGGGTTAGCATATCTGATAAGTTGGTGTTATCAAGAGAAAGCCTTCAAGATCTGGAAACTCCAAAACCTGATAAATGCCTAATTTAATATTTTCTCCACGGTTCATAGTTTCTAATGTATGAATATTTTTCCATTTTTCATACGTACGTAGATTTAGATTTATTATCGCAAGTAGCAATTAAGTAAAATAAAATAATGCAAACAAGAGATCAAGTAGTAGTATCTAATTAATGGCAAAACAATGGTCCTAAATTAATTTTTGTTGTTACTGATAACTATGGTGTACCAACTGCAGGTGTTTGTGGACGAAACACCATCGGATGATTATGATCATGACCCCTATAGTCCGAAAAAAGTAGTCTCCCGTTTCCGTCTGTCTGTCTGTCTGTCTGGTGTCTACATCCATTTTTATTAGACAAGTAATCTCCGAAACTACTGGACCGATTGTTGACAAATTTTGTATGTATATTATAAATATCATGTATATGGTTAAATGTTACCCAAAATTTGGATATTCATCCCCATCAACAATTTGATGACGGCTCGTGTACATTAATTAAATTTTGCTGTTGTTGGTCTTGTTTTGGGCCATTGCGAACACACATCCAACCACGAGACACACTAATCAAATAAGAATTGAAAACAGTGACTTTGTGTTGACAAAAAATGCACCTGCAGGTCTACGAATTGAATTAAATGTTTTTCGCAGAAATCATCATTTTTTTTCTCGCTTCCGTTTTAGACAGAGTTGGGTCGATACAGGTGTGTTAATAGATCCAAGATAATTCAAATTAATGTATGGGTTAAACCTTTTCCAGAACTTATTCTTCTTGAAGGAACTGTGTTTTGTCGCGCCTGCTTTAAACCGGTAAGTATTTTTACATCTGTGGACGTAGTACGCAGTTTTTCTATTTACAAATACATACTTTAGAATCACCGGAAAAACCTTTTGTTAGAATATTTCGAAAAATATTTAAAAATAAATTGTTACCAAAATAGTAATTAAATAGTCGATTACTACCTACTATTTTTTATTTTTTTCTGTTTATATTTATTTTTTAAGTATAAGAATATTATCATTAAAAATGTGATTTATGTGTTAGTGAGATGTAATTAAACACTTTGCAATAAAACGTAATCTCGGGAAACCTGTTTTTGTAATTTGTAAATAAATTTAGTTGGCTTATTAACTTTTTTTTTTATTTTTGGAGCATATGCAACTGCATATCTCTGCATATATAAAGAAAGTTACTGCATATTTGCATAAATTTGATGCATATCATATGATCATATTTCCCAAAATTTTGCTGCATATTTTCCGCTCTCTAGTCATGAAACATCGAGAAAACATAAATGTGGCACTTCGTCCGATGGACTCGATTACTATACTTCCTTAGTTTACGCTCGGAAGTAAAAATGGATTAGTTAATAACATAAACTACTACAAACCAATAATTATAGACAAAAACTTAAACTATACTGTCGCGAAATTCTCAAATTTGAGAGTAACGAAGTAACAATTAACGATTATATCAGGTTGCACGCGTCAGACTTTACGAAATCTGTAGACAAATGGCTCACAAATTGGTTAATTGATATTGGGATGGGAATTATAGTTCGAAATTCAGGTGTTGACAATATCACTCTTTTCATTTGCGACGAAGGTGGTATCGTTTTGTTCAAAACTAAAAATATTTCTCAAAAGCAAGAAATATTTCCACTTCAAATAAAACAGCTACCAGATATAAAATATGTAATTGTAGTACCGACGCGCGTGAATGGAAATCACTGGACTTTGGCTATTGCAAATTTTCACAATGAAGAATTTTATTTTTTTAACTCCGTTAGAACGACTGTTAGTGATATTAGTGAAACATTTTTCAAAGAATATAATTCTGTATCGAATAAAAAAAATTCCGTAACCAACTGGCATGCTAGGTTAGTGACAAATTATAAGAGGCAGCAAGATAGCTACAACTGCGGAATTATAATAAGTAACTCAATTATTCGAAAATTTTCTGTTAAAAAAATCTTTTGAAAACACATGCTGTGCAAATCTGTATAGAAATGAAATGAAACAACTAATCATTAAAAATTCGGACAATATGAGTGACGACTGTCTATATTGTGGAGTTGTAGAAAAAGACAAACAAATAAATTGGTTTAACATTGTTGGTCTACTAACTGGGATATAGATTTTATAATTATGGTTACAAAGAATATAGTCAGTACCTATTATGTACCTAAATTTTGCTGCACCTATTTGTTTTCCAATTGGTGATTAATACGTAATTAACTGTTGTTTTGCGCTCAAGAAGTAACAAAAATATTTGGATTTTTTTTGTTTTACCGCGCAATGAGTCATTGTTCTAATTAGGAAATAGTAGTATTCAGCATATTGTTAGTACACACAGGAAGTAGGAAACTAATATTAGGAGTAGTAGCGGTACATACATCGAATTGTAATGTAATTTACTTTTTGCACTCATGACCTTTTTTGATAGCTTTCGCGCATTCACCAGAGTGCAGGAGGTCGAACTTCCCGCACACGTGCATTTAACTTTCCGTTGCCATGGTAACCTTAAAATACTCGGGTAGTGTCAACATTGTGACGTGTTGACGGCGCTGTCAATGCCGTTGTTTATAAATAACTTACAGTTAATCTCTTCAGTTTAAAGGTTTATTCGTTGCAAAAAATATTGTACACAACACGTTCGTGAGCCTGCTTCCCGCATTCACGCAAATGCGTCACTCCCTTCGGTCGTGCCGCAAACAAGCGTTCATGCGGGAAGCAGGCTATCCCGAACTAGTTGTGTAAATTACTAATATGCGCTCAGGAAGTAAAAATACATGTACATACATTAACCATAACTTAAACATATTTTTTTACTATAAATTTATCACTAGTTCGACACATGTAAATATTCCCAAAACCACTCCTTTAAATTCAAAATAAACGTGAACTTATCTGCGTAACTTACGCTGGTTGAAGTATTCTTTACATATTTACTATGAAAATTTCAACGTTTTTTAATATTTGTTTATTGATAAATAATAACGAATATTTATTTCCGCTCAGAGAACATAAGATTTTGTTCACGGCTCAGGTATATATGTGCTTTCCATTACCCTTTCCTTCCACTTAGATTTACATAAGGACCATATTTGAATTTTATCACAAAATTCCTCTGCTCAGTTATACCTAATAAATTATTATCAAAACTCAAATTGGTATGATTAAAATACAATAAATTTCCTGGTTTTAACTTCGACATTGTAACTAATTAAAAATTCTTTACGGTGACAAAAATGAAGAATTTTCAAAATCATCGACCTCAACCTGTAATCAAGAAGACAAGGAAAACGCTAACCAAAATTTGCCCGATCTCCCTATCAGTGTCATGACATCTCAAAAATGTTTATAACAAAATTTACAAAATAGCATAATCTTGTATTCGTTTTATTGAATACAAGTTCGCAAAATCAGAATCAGTGGTAAAATTCATGTCTGGAACGAGTTCTTCGAAATGTACTCGACAATTTAGAAATCGAAATTTATTACGATGGTTGCGACTAATATAAATTCAGCGATTATTTAACAAAAATAAAATACTTGTGCTGTAGAAAAGGCAAGAGTTGGGATAAAATATGTGCTATATCCTGTTGAAAACCGTACTAAATTAAATATACCAGAATGAACTGCTTATGAATAATACCTACGTCATTTTTTTATACATTTATCAAAAATGGAAATTTTTAAAATATTATTTTTAAAAATTGTTGCTGATTTGGTTAGTTTACGGACAATAATCATAAGTGACATTTAATTTGAAACTGTTACTTCGATTACGTTGTTATGGCGAAAGTATACATTTGGATTTTATCTCGACCATTTTGGTCCAATCCAAATACTACGGTTTTTGTATTTCTCCTGTTATTTCTGACTTGAAATTGAGAAATTCACTTTCTTCCCAACATAAACAACAGAGCACATTTGTGTACCCACATTATTGATCAAACTTATCATTATTTCAATATCTACAACGTAACATCTGGTCTGATTTACACAACTTATTTTTCCCACTGATAAATAAATGTTATCTATATGCATATATACAAGATGAGTTACTAGGCGCGCATTTCTCGATATCTCATTAATTATTAGAACTAGAAAAAAAGTCAAATACCAAAGTTGTACGGTTCTTTGGGAACTATACTATAAAATTATTTTGAACTATACAGAGTGTTTTGTTTATAAGGCACAACACACAACTTAATTTTTTTAAATGAAACACTCTATATATATTTTTACATAAAGGGTTATTTACGAGACGCTCCACGCCTAAAAACTTTAAAATGCAACCAACAGTACAATTTCATAACAGTCTTTGATATTTACCACCCTTTTTATTTTATTTTAAACATAGTTAGCTGTTTGATTTTGATAATTTAGGAATAAACGTCAATGATTGGGTTAAAATTGCAAACAAACTTATTCAAGACATGAGTTTGCAGTGAATCTCCTGTACGGATAATGTCGCTAGAAAACCGCACTCACTATATTTCAAAATCACATCAGTTTTTTCGTTGTTTGAACACTCTGTGTTAATTTTGAGGAAACGTCAGTTTTAACGTAATAGTATCTGATACTACGCAATGTTGTTACACAAAACCGGTAACTATATTTTACTTTTTTAAAAAAGGGTGGAGCTGCTCGTGAATAACCTGTATGTAAAGATATATAGAGTATTTCGTTTAAAAAATACGAAGTCGTTTGTTACGCCTTAAAAACAAAACACTCTGTATAGTTAAAAAATAATTCTAGAGTATAGTTCTCAAAAAACCAAACAACTATGATATTTGTTTTATTTTATTTCTAATAATAATAATTAATGAGATATCGAGTAACGCGCGCCTGGCGACTCGTCTTGTTTT